GGACTCAGGATGTCAATAAATCTCACTTTTCCTCCCACAAGTCTATCTCATTCGGGCTGGATTGGACCGCATCTACGAATTTACCAGCCACCCAAATGGGATTTGATGCCATGTCATTACACAGCTACGAGTGCCAGTGAGTCAAAGGGCAGATGTGGTATTCCAGTAAGGCTAGGCCTATTCAAACTCACACTTTCTGGTGAGAAAGTTGATTAAATAAACATGTCTATCATTGCGATCGACAATGTTACATATTTTCGATAAGAATAGTTAACTACTGATAGTATCGAAACCTTTTCACATGGAAATTAAGTAACGTCGTCGATTGCAATTACAAACACATGTTTGCTTAATTGGCAATCTCACTAGAAAATGTAGGTTGAGAGAGGCCTAGCTTGCCTTCTCCGTGACACACTGGAATCTGTGGCCAGGTAGTAACAATAATGAAGGGAATCTTCCTCAAAAATGAGCAAGCCTGAATGGAAATTAGGCATGACATGGAAAGCCAGGTGATCATTGTGCAGGAATTAAAGCACAAATTTTGATATTGAAGACAGTGAGTTCAAACAAATTGCTGGCCAGTCGTTCAATGTTAGGCATGGTTACCTTACAAAAGCCGGTTATAAAATGGCTGGAGGAAGATGAGCACAGTTGATAGATTTGGCTCGAAGAAAACAGGATAGTCATTACATTCGATGAATAAGAGTTCCAGTCCCTCTAGGTCGCATAAAGTGATAAAGTAAAGTATTGATGATTGAATTGTCTCACATGTTTTTGTTGATTCCCAAAAGGTATTCTCTTACTGATTGGAATGGAGTGGACCCCAGTTTCAGCCTTGCCTGGGTCTCATCAGCACTCCCAGCGGGACTCTAAATCGCACAATCCGAATTCGGTTCCCGCTGTGGCTGGTGATAAGACCCAGGCGAGGTCAAAGCTGCAGTCCAGTCCAACCAGGATGAGAATAGCTTTGGTGAAATTTGATTAAGGGAAAATTAAACTATCATCACCTTGTGCGACCTACGGTGACTGGAGCTGTTATTCAAGATTCGCCGACAATTCCGAAATATATCGTATATGAGTACCTCCGATGAATGTATCA